CGCCCCGCCGGGATGCGCTCCATGTGCCCGGCCGCACAGCGGGGCTCGTCCCGGCCCGCGCCCGGTCCTGCTGGCCGCCAAAGCCGTAGTAGTCCAGGTCGTCGCCGTAATCCGCAGCAGCYGGCAGGATCTCCTTGCTTTTGCCTCCTGGCAGCAGCCCAAGGCTCCTCTCCTTAGTGGCGGGCGCTGGCTCTGTGGGCTCGGGACTGTCAATTCCTTCCTCCTCCTCCTCTTCATCCAAGAAGCCTGGAGCAGCAGYAGATTGATCCCTGAGGAGCCCAGCCACTCCACGCGGCAGCACCGCAGCACCCAGGCCCCAGCCAGCCAAGCCGGTGTGACCTCCCCRGGGAGCTCCACCTGCAGCCCGGCCCCGCGGACCGGACACCCAAAGCTCCGGTCAGGATGTGCCTGCCCCTGCCAGGGCCGGGCTGCAGCGAGAGCCTCCAGTGAGTGCRTCCAGCCCTGGCTCCCGGCTGCCCCGGCCCTGATCCGCCACGGCTGCCCGCTCCATGCTGCGGAGACGCGGAGACGCGGGCAGGCAGAGGCAAGCGGCACTCACTGTCCGGGCCGAGGAAGAGGAAGGCTCGCCGGCGGGGATCCTCCTCCTCTTCATCCATCTTCATGTACTTGTAGAAACCGAACCTGGGTGACACAAGGGAGGGATGAGCTCCGCGAGCGTGGCGAGGGCTGCCCTGCACRCAAGGACACGCGCGAGGTCCCACGTGGCCACGGGCTGGGGCAAACACCCCGCGTGGGTGCCGGGCCGGGCTCTGCCAGCCCCGCGGTGCCGGATTTCCCAAGGCCAGCTCTCCCGTCCACGCCACGCTGGCGAGCGCCCCTGGCACGTACTTCTCCAGGTAGAGGGGGGACTCCCTGTAGAAGCACTTGTTCTCCGTCTCCATGTGYGTGAGGCGAGTGAAGTCGTTGGGGTACACGAAGGAGAGGTAGACCTGCCGGCGGCGAGCGCGGGGCCGTGAGCYGCGCACGGTGGCGCGGGGCGGCCGCTGAGGCCCCCGGCCCCTCTGTCCAGCCGGGAAGGGCGCCGAGCCGAGGGGCCCTCGGCCATGGGGAGCCACGTCTCGTCCCGGGGGACACTCACAAACTGCAGGCCCTGGTAGCGGGCGATGGGGAAGTCCTTCACCACGTAGGTGGGGCTGTAGGCACAGGGCACCAGCACGTTCTCCACGCGGGAGGCCTCGATCGCCGGGGCTGACGGGAGGAGGCTGCGGCTCAGGTGCACAGCCCGCCAGCCCAGCCTGCGTCCTACAGCTCCCAGTGCCCCCCTGCTTTAGGGGATGCTCCCGCCCCACTTACTGAGGAAGAAGGTGTCCCTGGGGTCCGTCTTGAGCATGTCGGCGCCGTGCTCGTCCTGCTGTGCCTCCCAGAGGTGGCTCCCGCTGTGGCTGGCCAGGGTCTGCGGGATGTGCTCCACGTGGTTCATCTTCAGGGACGACTCGTCTGCGGGAGGCGAGCACCGAGGCTGAGGCCGCCCCAYGGCACAGCCCCACGGCCACCCAACGGCACTCATGGGCTTCCCCGTCTTGCTGCGGCCCGTTGCCCAAGCCCCTGGGCTTCTGCYGCTGGCATCCGAGTCCCGGCACGATCATCCCCCATGCCCTGACCCCCCACAGGTGACTGGGCTCTCCCCAGGGCGCCGCTGGCATCCGAGGGAAGCAGAAGAGAGCGGGCGCTGGAGGAGAGCGTCGCGGGGAAATCGGTKTGTGCCTCATCCATCTCCTGGGCTCCCATGTCAATACCTGCGGCGCCTGCACACCAGGCTCCGTCCCTCCGCCGCCCATTGATTCCTGCCACCTCATCGACACCTCCCAGGGCACGCTTAATGACCAGTCCTCAAGCGTATTGAGCACTGGGGCAGCTCCCATCTATCAAACGCTTTTTGCTGCCAGTGCAGGAAATGGGCAGGAAGCAGAAGATCTATAGATTTAATTAAAGCCCGCGCCATCCATCCCCACTTAGACGACAGCTCCACATAACTCAGGGCCGGGGCAGGGAGCCAAGAGGCGTGTTGAGGAGCAGCTCTGGAGCCTCAGCAACAGCGGGAAGGCTGCGGCGGTGGCCGGGGGCTGAGATCGGGGCTGGGTTTCCTCCCCATAGCGGCACTGGCACATGCAGCCCCTCACAGGCCACAGCCGCACACAGGGGACCCCRAAGGTCTCCGGTCTCACCTGTGTACAGAGAAATGTAGGAGGAGTCGATCACTTCGAACTTGAGGCTGGGGAGGAAAACTCGCCACTAGAAGAGAGGGAAAGAGAGAGAAAACTCAGTGSCAGGGGTGCCGGATCCAGCTGCCCACCCTAGGCCAGGCCCTCCCCAGCACCAGCACATCCAGAGCCCGTGCTGAGCCCCAGGGCACCCACGTCCCAGCCTCTCTCCAGCACTGGCATAAACAAGTTAGTGTTGACTGAAGGGGGGTCTTCGTAGCTGTCTGCACTGATTTCACTGCCGACGTCTAAAAGCTTGCCTGGAGACGGATGAGCCTTTGTCCAGACAAGCCTTTAAATACCCACAGGGAAAGATGCATTAGGGTCCTCCTTTTTTGTTGTTGTTGTTGCTTAAGAACATCTGAGAGGTTTCCCTCCCTCCAGCCAAAAACGTCTCCCCCATCTGTTTGCTTTTCACATTAGAAATTCAGATCTTAATCTGTGCTGGATGCTCCGGCCCGGAGCGCTTGGAGGGCCAAGCCAAGCACCGAGGAGGAGGAAGGCGAGGAAGGGGTGTCACCTCCTCCCCGACRCTTTGCTGGCACAAGCTGGGCTCCGGTGATTAATGACTGTTTGGGAGCAAGGAAGCCTTTGCTCCGGAGCCAAGATGTTCCCTCCCGAAGAAAGCCCGAGCTCCCATGACATGTGCAGGCCCTGCCAGCCTGCGCAGCCAAGACGGGCAAGTTCAGATCTGACGCTCCTGGTATTTCATAGGTGGAAAAACGGAAAGCAGGGAGGCACCCGCTGCCGCCCGTCTCTCCCAGTGCTGAATCTGCAGCACAGGCTGGCAAGGGAGAGCTGGGATCGCAGCCCGGGGGTGGCACGTGGGGCGCCGGGGCCTTGCTGCCTGCCCCACAGCTCTGGGCTCCTCTGGGAAGCCAGGGAGCAGCCTGCAGGGGACCCCTCCTCCCTTTCGAGCCCTCCTCTCTCTGCCGTTCCCAGTGGGATTTGATCCGCAGACGGAGCCCGGAGCAGGACCCTGCCTGGAGACCCTCCGTGGGCATTCGTTCTGRGAGGTGCATTGGCAAGGCAGGAGCACAGAGGAGGGAGATGGGGACAGCAGCTCCTGCAAGGGCATCGGCACAAAAGGAGCAGGGGAAAAGCCGCCCGTGCCAGGTAGCCTGGGCAGGAGCAGCCGCTTTGCTGCCGGATTCAGGGCGGGAAGAGCCTCCTCGGAGCAGCGCTGGCTCGTGCCCTCCCTCTGCAGGCTGCTGGCCACGCTCCAGGGTAGAGCGTTTTCACAGAATCACAGAATGGCTGAGGTTGGAAGGGACCTCAAGAGATCATCCAACCCCCCTGCTCCAGCAGGGACACCCAGAGCACGGGGCACAGGCTGCATCCAGGCGGGTTTGGAAGACCTCCAGAGTAGGAGCCTCCCTGGGCAGCCTGTTCCAGGGCTCTGGCACCCTCACAGTAAACAAGCTCCTCCTCACATGGAGATGGAACTGCCCGTGTTTCAACTTATGCCCAATTTTTAATGCACATTTTAATGCACGTGAGGAAAGGCCCCGGTCGCAGCTGGCAAGGGGAGCCTGAAGGGAGCGCGGCGGGCGTCCACTCACGCCGACTTCCACGTGGTCCGAACCTCGGTCGTCTTGCTTGTGGAGCAGCTCAAAGTAGTAGCGCCTGGAGGACATGAGGCTGCAGAGGAGGGGAAGAGGCTCTTAGGAAGCAGTGCTGAAGCGACTGCTGCTGCACCGYGCTCACGGAGCCCGGCACAGGGCACGGCGCCAGCCGGGACACACTTACTGCAGCGGCTTGGAGACCTGGGAGCTGAACTTGGTGAACTCGCCCGGGGCCGTCCACTCGGTGCCCAGCTGCAGGAGGGGGAAACGGCACGTGAGAGCACGCGGGGGAAGCGAGGCCGGGCCCGCCGGGTCCCCAAAGGGCACCGATGGGCGCACGCGTCACGGGACTGAGGTACCTTGCCCACAAACGCCGCCAGGCGCGAGTTGGACGGGCTCTCGTCGGAGCTCAGCCAGAACTCGGAGTTGTCGTCGGATGCCACCGAAAACTGGAAGTCCCCTGGGGAGGGCAAAGCAGGACATCACGCGGGGATAAAGCAGCCCCGCTGGCCTGCGCTGGGTGGCTGAGGGGGACGGCATCTGCTCGTCATCTGGGGAAACTCCAGGGACGGATGGACCAGACAGGGCTCCAACAGACAGGCCTGGAGCTTCTTCTCTATTTGAAGCATCCAAGGAGAAGGATCCCAGTTCCAGGAAAACCTCCCCACCCAGGCGCCAGGGTCCTGGGTGGTGCAAGGGGCTCCCCACGGCCCCACTCCCCTTCCTGACCTCGCGTGCTCCGAGGAGGGGGAAGGAAGCAGCAGAGCTCAGCCACTCACCATCYTTGAAGGGGTGGATGTAGCCGAAGATCCGCAGCCCGTAGTTCTTCCACTTGGGTGCCACAGCCAGCTTCCTCACCGTGGTGCGGGCCTGTGGAGACGGCACCGCTGCGTGGAAGCAGGGGTCCGGCACCCCTGGCGCCACGGGGCTCCCACCGCCACCCTCTGCTCCCCTCCCGCTCTGCTGCCCGCCTGGCATCCACCCGCCCCCAAACGGATCCCGAACGGCAGGCGAGGGTCCCCGCCGGACTCACGTGAGGGAAGAGCGGGAAGTGGAGGTTCTTCCGGAGGTGCCTCACCGCCCCTCCGCACCAGTCCTCGAAGACGTGCAGGTTGGCCTTCCCCTTGTACTGCGGGACGGGAGCAGAGCAGCRTGGCTCGGAGCAGCTCAGCCTGTGCCCAGCACCTTCCCGGGTGGCCTTTCCACGCGGGACGCTCCGCAGGGAAGTGGCAGGCTTCCCAGGAGATGGCTCCAGGATGCCTCCCGGCCAGCCTCCCTCCAGGACCATCCTCATCACCCGGCGCCGTCCGCAGGGCTCCCTGCACCCGCATGCCCTCCCCGGCTCACCTGGTCGTTCCAGGGCAGCGCCTGCTTGGTCAGGTTGAGTTTGGGGTGCCTGGCGGCTCGCTCGGACCGTCGGCCTCTGGAGAACCAGTCGTCGGAGTCCGGCCCGTCACCCTGCCGAGGAAGCGGGAAGGGAGATGGGAAACAGGGGAACGGGGACCAGTGCATCCCAGACCAGCCCTGGCATGAGCCATTCCCTCCTCCAGACGGTGATCCAAGGTGTTAATCCACGGRGCCAGGGAGCTGTCTGTCTGGTCGGCCCAGCCCAGAGATTTCCGTGCTACCGCAGGGAGGAATCCTGCCCGGAGATTC